CTCTTCCTCAGGGGGAAATCAGAGATAGAATGGTATTTAGTAAGAGTGCTAGTATTCTAGTATTTGTGGGATTCTGACGAAAATAGTGTTTGACGTATCTGCATGATGGATGTGAGGAAAATCCCAAAACTTGGCTTAGGGCAGTATTGATTAGGCTTTGATACAAAATATATCACACGTGTACATATACATATGTATACACATATACATATAGAACAAGTGATCGAACAAGTTGATTGAACACTAATTAAATCAATTAAACTAATTGACTGAAAACATCACAGAATCACAGAATGGTTTAGGTTGGAGGGACCTCTGGAGATCATCTAGTCCAACCTCCCTGCTCAAGCAGGGTCACCTAGAGCATATTTCCCAGGATCGCATCCAGACGGGTTTTGAATATCTCCAGGGAAGGAGACTCCACTACCTCTCTGGGAAACCTGTGCCAGTGCTCAGTCACCCTCACAGCAAAGAAGTTTCTCCTCCTGTTCAGATGGAACTTCCTGTGGTTCAGTTGGTGCCCGTTGCCTCTTGTCCTGTCACTGGGCACCACGGAGAAGAGACTGGCCCCATCCTCTCGACACCCTCCCTTCAGATACTTGTACACATTGATGAGATCCCCTCTCAGCCTTCTCTTCTCCAGGCTGAACAGGCCCAGCTCTCGCAGCCTTTCTTCAGGAGAGACGCTCCAGTCCCCTCAGCCTCTTTGTAGCCCTCCGCTGGACTCTCTCCAGTAGCACCATGTCTCTCTTGTACTGGGGAGCCCAGCATTGGACCCAGTACTCCAGGTGAGGCCTCACCAGGGCTGATCTACTACACAAGACTATTTTCAACTGGCTTTATGCTTGTAAATGTTTGTAAATTTGCTTGTAAACGAAGAATGGGTATTAAAACAGAAAATGGCTGTTCCAGGTGCCGAGGCCTTTTGCTCTGCCAAAGGTAGGAGTATACATGCCACCACTATAAGCCAGGTCGCTATCCTGCAGAGATCTTAAAATGAGGAGGAGGGTTGCTGCATTGAAACCAATGCATGACGTAACATCAGGAAAAGGTGTTAAATGAATCTAAATCATCAACACAGTTGCTTTACCTAAAATTGCATGCCATCAGTAATCATGGCCCCTCAGCCAAGATAGTATCCCCGAAAGTTGTTTCCTTAGGAAGGAAACAAAAGTGCTCAGTCACAACATTGTTGAATTTGATTGCATGCTGCTGCATAACTGATAAAGAAAATTTCTGAGTATAGGCTGACTGAAAATTATACTGTCACTTACCATATCCAGCATACATATTACCAGAAGTTGAGCCTTCACTAATCACTAATACAAAGAAAGCTGAAAGATAACAAATCCAAATCTGCCGGGCTGGGCTGCTGTTGTGTGCTTGCTCAGCAGGGCAGACACGATGGAGCCACGCTTTGAACTCAAGGAGCAAACAGAGAAACCTGCATGTCTGCAAGTGTTTGGCTGACCTTTCTGCATGGTTAATATTGCACAGTGTTTCTTAGACCAGAAAAAAATATATATTGGCCCAGAGCAGAGGGTGGTTGCGTTGTTCTGAAACATGAAAACAAGCTTTCTCTGTAAAGAGAAAAACAGGTAAATGGAGGTAGCGGTGCACGTTTTCTGACTTCTATACTTTAAGACCCAGTTTTCATCTGATAAACATAAAGGTGAAGTGCCAGCTTTGTGCCAGCAACTCATGGCCAGATTTCACCCCTTAAAACTGGGCTGCCGAGTTCAGGAACATACTCACTGTAGGTTCCTTGTATAGTTTTTGGAGAAGGCAGGCACCTCCAGAAGTTGACTAAGTTCTTACATAGGCTGACTCACCCTAACACTATTTCTTTCCTTTGGCTGTAGAGAGGCTCTGCAGAAAAAGAGATCCTAATGAACGTGTTTCAGTTAAGGGTCTAACTATAAATAGGATTAAACTGTGTTTTAGTTAATAATTAGCAAATTAAAAGAGAATGCATCAGGATATATTTTAAAACGTCTTTTGTCCCCAGATACCCATCAAAATTTTTTTCCCCTTAAATCTCAGTAATGGATTTGACACCTCCAAAGCCTTTTTTTTTAGGCTTAGATGTTTCTGAGATCTGCCTCTACACCAAGATTTTCAAAATACTTAGGCAGCAAGTCCCAGGCAAAGGCATTAAACTTCCACTGGAATCAGGTCAGTAGCTGAATAGGAGCCTGACTCTTCACTCCTTGCATAGGGAGGACTAGAGCAGTCCTGTTGTGTACTTAAGATTTAATCTCTAGCTTCTGCAAGTATCTACTGTGTGATGCTATCCTTAGAACAAACTTAGGACTCCGAAAGAACAAACAGAACCCAACAAGCCATACTTCAAAAGAGTGCGCAAATGTAAAAGCAAATGTACATGCACAACCTCTTAGCAAACCTCTATTTTCAACCTGCTGTGGAAGAGCAACTAATATGCTTGTGCTAATATTTTTCCTAGGGGATTGGTACACCTGAATATGGGGAGCATCTGATGTAGCCTATCTGATACTACTCATTTCCTCCTGAAAGGGCATCCATATTTCAATTTTAACACCTTTTTTGTTGCTGCAGTTGGAGCTCAAGTTATCCTTTACTTAGACTGCAATCAAATGTCACCAGCTTGTCAGACTGTAGAGCAAACACACTCCTTGCAGCGGACGATTAGCCTCTGGTGCAGTATCTGCCGCTCTCTTCCCTGCTCCCACCCCATAAACTTGCTGTGCCCTTAGTAAAAGGATGCTATTGGGCCCCTGGGCAATTTAAAACTCCATCCCTCTAACATGGGAATAAATTAATCAGAAACAATGGAAGACTACTACCATCTGGTACTCCAGATCCTTGGTCCCCTCATTAAAAACACCACAAAACAACCCAGCAGCCCCAAATCAAATCGAACTAGTGTGGAAAAGGTGAAAGCTCAAACTTCTTTAAAGACGCAAAGAAAGTGCTCTGCCGTGATTACGAAAGGTGTTAGAGCCCATCCTAGACTCAAGAGAACACCTTTAGCACCTCAGCGTCCACTAGCAATTGGCATTTAAATCCATCCACTCATTATTAGCAATTACGTGCAGTTCTCCTCTGAGGGCACTTATTTTCTAAAAATAAAATGAAATTATCTTAATGCTTTCATTCTTTAGTTAAACAATAACTTTATCTCCTGGGAACATCTCTCTGTCCTTAACGGCCTGTCTAGTAGGTGTGTTTTATTCTTAGATGCCCCAGCTCATCCTAGGCTTCACATAACTGAATATTAAATACCAACTTTCTGCAATATTTTAAGCTAATTCTTACTTCTCAGCAGACTGAGACCTGCCTTTAAGAAGTTCACGTATCACATCCACACAAGCAGTTAACAGACATAACTAAATAATTAAACTTAAACACACAGCTTTTTTTCTTTTTTTTCTTTCTGCTCCCCATGAGGATCTGCGAGGCCTTTCTAATTGAAATTTGTTTTGCATGCAGTAAATAACCAAATATACCAACCTGCAACTCCAGAAAAGAAAAGGCGGTGTCAGTTGGAGGTGACAGCTTACGAATTATTGTGTGTGGGGGGGGGTGAGAGCGTACGAAGTCCCCAGTCAATGATTTCGTTTTCAACCATTATTGCATGCCTACAATTACTTAATTATTAATGCATGACGTTTTAAATTATTATTGCAGCTGCAACGTCCCTCGACCCGGCACCACGAAGGAAAGACTGGAGTATGGGGAAAAAAAAAACACAAAAAAATCCAAAAAGCAGCAGCCGCAGGCTTT